ACTTCTCCGGGGCGATGGAGGATGTCTCAGTCTCTGCTGAATGCAGAATACAAAAGAGCAGGACAAACAGCGGTGTTTGGCTTAATCCCGCTACAGCTCCTTTTAACCCCTTCCTTGCCCCCTTTGTGGATGCACCAAAACCACGCTGCATTGTCTTGCCAGGAACTGCTAATCCTTCAAACATGACACAGCTGTGAAAACAGCTTCACCCCAAGTACCTGTCTAGATGGCATGTGAACTCTTGACGTCTGTCACGATGTAAATACAAAGGTTGTTTTGGTTTTTTTTGTATTCCTGTGTCACAAGGTATGGGAAAAAAAAAGTTAAAGAACGACTCCAGTAATGTCATGACAGATAAATCCTAAATTCACACTTTTAGAAAATAATTAATAAATGTATATTGAAAAAAAAAAAATGTGCAAAGCAGTGCAGCTGTGGATTGGGAATTCCCACCATCCCTGTGCTGAGTTCCCGGGTCTGTACACCCGCTGTGCCCATTATGAGGGGCTCCCACCATCCCTGTGCTGAGTTCCCGGGTCTGTACACCCGCTGTGCCCATTATGAGGGGTTCCCACCATCCCTGTGCTGAGTTCCCGGGTCTGTACACCCGCTGTGGCCATTATGAGGAGCTCCCACCATCCCTGTGCTGAGTCCCCGGGTCTGTACACAGTGGGACACACAGGGCCGGATTCACTCTGCTGCTCCAAGGCCAGGTTCCTCAATGCGCCCCGCCAGATCAATTGACAATGGCAACCAGATCGTGAGGGCGGCAGGGTTAATTTTATTTACATTTTTTTACTTTATCACATTTTTTTATTTACTTTTGTAAAAATTTTATTTATCATTTTTTATCATTTTTTTTTTTATTTAATTAGTTTATCAAGTTTTTTTTATTACAGCCCTGTGCTGGCTCTCCTGTGACAGCTGATGGGTGAAGGCTGCGGTTGGAGCTCTCCCCTCTCACTGTTTACACGGAGCACAGCGGAGATCAAACGTTCCCCGCTCTCCATCCTGAAGATCTCCGGGGGCGGCCAGCGAACACCCAAAACCCCCCAGGTGGACAGGAACAGAAATTATGGCCAAAAGATCTTGTTGTTGCAGCATCCAAGGGCACATAACCTCGGGACTGATTCAGCCTACCAGGCCCCGGCTATATCTATAAAATCACTTTTGGGTGTTTGGGCCCTTTCAGGAAAGCTAGTCCGGGTGGCTTTTGCCTCCCAGAGGAGCTTCCAACCAGCACTAAAGGTTTCCATTGCTCCTGGGACGCGGTGTGAGCTACAATATCCCATTACGAGTCAGGACCTTGGCCTCAGGCGCGCCTCCAAGACAAAAATGGAACAAGTACAAGCAATCAATATAAAAACTGCCGCACGAGGCCAAGATAAAGAGGAGGACTCTGGCACCTCTGTAGTGTTCTTGGCTTATACTCCGACCTCTGACCAGCAAAGTAGCCATGAGTTCCAGGGAACTTATCTGTTCTTGTTTACAAGTAACATAACTGACTGGTATTGCGCAACTTTATCAGTCAATTCACAACCGGAAAATGTCCTGCATGCCTGTCCTTAAAGAGGAACTCTGGGCAAACAGCTGAATTCACATTGGAAAGCCAGACTTGTCACCTGTTTAAAGGAGATGAACTCTGGATTACAAGACGGACTGAACAGACACCCCTCTCTCTCTCCTTGTGCAGGGTGACTGGTCTTGTCCCCGCCCCCTCCTGTTTAGAGCTGCAGCTAACGATTATTTTCAAAATCGATTAGTTAGCCGATTATTAAGTTCGATTAATCGGTTAATCGGATAAACAATAAAATACATTTTTAAAAATGGCTCCAGTTGGATGCGGGCGGGTCTGGCAGCGAGGAGCGTGAGGTGATGAGGAGGTGCAGCGCACAGCGTGTGTGGAGCCGTGAACAGGGCCAACTGATTGGAAGCCGATTAATCGATTATTGAAAAAGTTGACAACTTTTTCAATCGATTATAATCGATTATGTCGATTAGTTGTTGCAGCCCTACTCCTGTTAATAAGACCGGTCACTGCTGCGGTCTCTCCTTGTGCAGGGTGACTGGTCTTGTCTCCACCCCCTGCTGTAATAAAGACCGGTCACTGCTGCTGTCTCTCCTTGTGCAGGGTGACTGGTCTTGTCCCCGCCCCCTCCTGTAATAAAGGCCGGCCACTGCCACTCTCTCTCCTTGTACAGGGTGACTGGTCTTGTCCCGCCCCCTCCTGTAATAAAGGCCGGCCACTGCCACTCTCTCTCCTTGTACAGGGTGACTGGTCTTGTCCCCGCCCCCTCCTGTAATAAAGACCGGTCACTGCTGCTCTCTCTCCTTGTGCAGGATGACTGGTCTTGTCTCTGCCCCCTCCTGTAATAAAGACTGGTCACTGCTGCTCTCTCTCCTTGTGCAGGGTGACTGGTCTTGCCCCCGCCCCCTCCTGTAATAAAGGCCGCCCACTGCCACTCTCTCTTCTTGTGCAGGGTGACTGGTCTTCTCTCTGCCCCCTCTTGTAGTAAAGACCGGTCACTGCTGCTCTCTCTCTCCTTATGCAGGGTGACTGGTCTGGTCTCCGCCCCCTCCTATAATAAAGACCAATCACAGCTGTTCTCTCTTTGTGCATGGTGACTGTTTAGTTTCTGCAGGCAGCCTGTAGTGGGTGGGGTCTGTTGGGCCCCTCCCACAGCTCTGCCCTCTGCACAGGCCATGTGCAGCAAGGTTGATGATGTCACTGCTACTTTTACAAGCGTTTGCAAAGGAACTTGGTGCACACCGAACTCATTTGTGGCTTTTAAGGAAAATATCGAAATAGAGTTTTTTTGCCTTCCACCTAAAAACTGTCCACAACTTCCTGGCAGAGCCGCCTGCGGATGAAATGTTGGCCAGTTTAGTAGGAAAACAGCAGAAATTTGATCCGTTGCGCGGCCAACTTTATCCTGAAAACTAATGCGGCTTCACCATCTAAGCTGCAGTGAATGTCGTCTTCTTCACATGCAGCCCATGTCCCCCCTGTCCTTCCACCAAATCTTTATACGGAGCTCGTAGTGAATGAGCCCACAATAGCGCTGCCCGTTTATTTCAATAGCGAGAGGCGGGCACCGGTGCCAAGCCCGCTCCGAGTTACCAAGTGCCTTTACGCTCCGCCAGAGTAAAATGCCATTGCTATGGGAACGCCACTATGTTCCACAAGCCGGCTGGATAAACAGACCGCGCCTTCCCCAAGTCAAACAAGGAACGGCTCTCAGGATCCCGTGCTAATCCCCGTCTCTCCGTGACAAGGCCCAGAGAAAGGCATGTTTGTACTGCCAGCCATTGTGCAGGTACATGCCTGTGTTCTGCTATATCTCACTCGCCATTGCCGCTGTCAGAATCGCAGCCGCTGTGATCAATCTGCATTCCATGCAGGCGCAGGACTGTTTATTTCCTTTCCTAGCTAAGGTCAGTCTTGTAAATGGCAACCGTGGGCACGGCGAGCAGCTCCGAAAGAGAACCGGTTGTGTTTTTGTTGCTGCAGGAGTACATAGCAGGTCCCTAAATATAATGGCGGGAGCCAAATTTGCTTCATGCGTTCCCGAACTAACAACTCGCTCACTCATGCCAAGAAAAAAGGGATTTCACATACATTTGGGAATTAGTGATGTGCGGGACTTGGAGCAAACCTTGTTGGCCCAAGCAAAACAACTGTGACCAACACCTCCTGCTCCCTGCCAAGTCAATTGCAGCCAGGGCATTCCCTGCCCCACAGCTACACATCACAAAGGAGCGGAGACTGCCCAGGCCACCTGATCAGGGCAGGAGGGGGGTGTCAGTTATAGTTTTGCAACAGCATGAGCAAACTGGGCTCGCACCAAGCCCCCAGCACATCACTATTGAGAATAAGGACCTTTCACATGGGCGGTCTCTTGGTTCACCTTTGATCCGTGATTTTAAAAAAATTAAATACGGGCCACAATGTATCCCTGTGGGCAGCTGGGTGTAAATGGATGCAAGTCGTGCCGAGGCAATAGGTTTCCCTCCATGGCCGATGTTTTCGGACCTGAACGGAGTGGATATAAATGGACGCTCATCCGGTTATATTCTATAGGAATTACATGGGTACTTGTGATGGCGGAAAAACAGAACGAAATTACAGATGTCCTTTCTGATCCGACTCGGTACCGTCTATGAATCCATGAGATGGAAACGGAGGCGCCTGTGCGAAAGGCCTAATAGTATTTTGTATGAGGGCGACCACATTCCGGGGCAAGGATCAGCTGACATGTTCTACTTGGAAATGCTTGTTATTCCCGTCTCTTTAGTCACAGCCATTCTGCTTTCCCTGCTGAAAAGTTAAAAATGAAAGCGTAGCTCACGATAAGAAGATGAGGGAACTAAAAACACTTTAAAAGTTTAGGAACTTCTAAAATCTGGAATTTTTGAACCTGAAGTCAGTAGGAATATGAACCGGGCTCCGTAAAAGATTGTATTACAGAACAGAGTCGTTTGGGAAGCTCCTGGCAGCCTGATAAGGCGATGGGCCATTTGCTTTGAGAACTCTACTAGGGGATGCGGAGATACAAGGGTGAGACCTGGGGGCACCAGCATTTGATGCTCCTCAGGGAACAGCCGAAGCAGATAGAAGGCAGAAACAGCCATTGGAGAAGCCACTAGACCCTCCCTCCCTTTTTGGGAATGAAATGCCAAAAATACACTGAAATTTTGGATTTGGGGAATTAGATCAGAACCTAACATCCAAATTTTGGGATCCACTCTATTGCATGGCACGACCCCACACTAGAAGGAATGTTCAAGAGTAACTTTAGAAAGTATTATTTTTACCTAAAGAGTAGTTGATGCTTGGAGCGGATGTCTAGCAGAGGTAGTGAGACAGTCAACAGTAAGAGAGTTTGAACATACCTGGGACAACCTTAGGTCTAGCCTCAGACAAAAATATAACAAGAAAAGCGGACTCGATGGACCATTTGGTCTTTTTCTGAGGTCAGTCTTTAAATATTCTATGCAACACTAGCCACTTTTTTTTTCTTTTTGGATGGCATCAGTAAGAGCAAAATTTCTGTCAGTGACCCCATTGTGGAGATTTTCCCTGACACCAGTACAAAATTGGGTAAGGGGTTTGTCGATGGTACAGGAAGCCTTCTTCACTCTATGGAAAATGCTATTTTGTGTCGCCATTGGTGAGATTTCCCATCAGTTCCTGTCCGGCAGTCTCCTCAATCATGAAACAGATGACAAAAATATGACATTGGCTCTAAAGCAGGCCATAGACTACGTGAATTGCATTGGAGTCCTGCAGATTCGGCCGAAACTCAAGCTGTGTGTGTGGCCCTGCCAGGACCAATAAGGCAACTTATGACGAAGGTGCCAGGGCTGAAGTTTGTCAGCCAGTGACTGCAACCAATTGGCTACAATCAACGTTAGGGTGCCAGCTATCAGAATCAAAATACAATAGCCCGGCTGGGGAGATTGGGTTGGGAGGACCCAGTTGAGTGGGGTTTCTTGTTCAACCCATAATTAAAAAATAGTACAGTGTATGGCCAGCTTTCCCCTTCCACGTCCAAAACAAAAATGAGACGTTTGGCCTCTAATTACATGCGTGCCGCTACCAAACCTCAGTCAAGTTGCAGAGATTGCTGAGGGACCCGGCCGCTTCATGGACAGCCAGGTCCTGATAAGTTTTATCTGCAAAAGACTGGACCTGAGAAAAATACGGGAGCCATCATTCTTGACTTCCATCTCAAAACTTTAGTTGCCTGGACTGGGACGACATGCAGCCAGCGGGTTAGGCATGGGGAAAGTACTGAAGCTGGAGGTTCTCTATGACAGCCGGGTGGCCAAGCAATGAATATATCCCTTTCAGTACAGGTGCCTCTCACATGAAATACAACCTTTTGATTTGCGTTGAACTTGGCGTGTGACAACCTCAGGGTAAATGTGTCAGGTTTATCTCCCCTCATTAGTCCCGGCGCCCGACATCAAACAATATTTAGACTGAAAACAATGAAAACACAGCTGTGATCTTCAGCTAGCGCTGCGCGGGGTTGGCAAAACATTTGAGACATTCCTCGTCCTTCTAAAAGCTTTCAAAGAAACACCTCTTCTCCGCCGAGAAACGTTGGGACGCGGCATGTTGAAAACATTAATTGTTAAAAAATCATCCCAAATATCTACTGATAGGTCAACCATTCAATCTTATTCATGGTGTGCGACTGGTGGGGGGTTGTTAGAGTGTAAGCTCTGTGGGGGAAATGTAAATTAGCTTTGGCTGGATTTCTCCATTATCCGACACCTATCTGAATAACGTTGTTTTATTTTGTGTACAGGGCAGCGACAGCGAATACGAAGTGGACCAGAACCAGCAGAAGAGCCATTCCTTTGTCAACCACTACATCAGCGACCCCACCTACTACAACTCCTGGCGGCGGCAGCAGAAGGGCATATCCCGGGCGCACGCCTACAACTACACCGACACCGACCTGGAGGACTCTGAACAATGTATCATACCCAACAGCAACAGCAGTCAGCAGGGCAGCCTGTACAGGTCCAAACCCAGTCGGACTCCAACACCTCAGCAGGCCCCGCCCCAACAAAACCCCATATACCGCCCGCCCAGCAGCCTGGCCCCTACATCCCGGGCCCCCATCGCTGGATTTTCATCCTTCGTTTGATGACAAACCTTGCACCGATGTACCGTTGTTTCTTTGAATTTCAAGAAGCAGATAAATATATTTTTTGGGGGGGGGGGGGGACAAAACTTTATGGAATTTGTATTGGAGACAATCAGTCATGGATTGAGATCTTTATTTTGCTGCTTCAAATATGTATAATATTCCAAAGGTTTTTTTTCGGGGGTTGCAAAAAGTGAGAGAACCTACGTGCAAGAGCCGAGCTAAACCAAGGAAACCCTCCTCGCCGAGGAACCAGGCGGCCGCAAAATGGCTGCCCATCTTGCCGTCTACATGCCTATACCAAGGATTACCGTGCCTGAAGATAAAAGTCTGGCCAGCAAGCGATGGAAGGCGGCCTGCTTTCCAGCCGAACAATGGCTCCCGCAATCGTTACAGTGTATCCATAAGGATTATAACTTCAGTATTAGACGCTTTGCACTGGTCGGCGATCCTCATACCCCCCCCCCTATGGTATGGGAAGTACAGATTATTACCACAGGGCCTATTTTGGACATGACATCAAGGATATTTGTCTAAGAAACTGCCTGGATCCCTTGAAGGGAATAAAACAAATATAAATCATTTAAGGATTCATTCACAAGTTACAGCAAGACATAAATCTAATGTCCAGGGTATAAAACAAGGCTTCGAGGAAACCTCCACTTCAGAGAGCGGGCCTCTTTATTCAGGGCGGAACTGCGCTGCCCCTAGCAACCAAGGACCCACTTCTCCCTTCTAGGTCGGACTGAAAGGCAGAAGCCGATTGGTTGCTGCAGGCAGTCTGGTTCTATTAGACACTGTCAAGTCACGCGGCCTACAGTTCTGGTGGTACCGTCCTTCTTTACAGAACCCCAAGAGAGACCCATATGTGGGTCAGCTTAGGGTATCCCAACGTTGGAGCTGGACTTGAGTTTCCCAATTTGGTTTTTTTTTTTTTCTCCGGCCATTGGGAGGTATAATATGGACTTTTCAGCCCGTACCATCAAAAATTGTCCTTTTTGTTTATTTAATATCATTTTTTTACCTGAATTTGCTACTTTTTTTCTTATCCTCGATATTGCATACAGGTTTGAGAAAGGAAGCTCAATGGTCGCCTCGCGTCGGAGGGGTAAAATTCTCTCCTTTCTCAGACCTTGCCTTGGGTTTGGGCCTAGTGTGGTGTGACAGAAAACAGAGTAGCATTGCATATACCTAAAACAGTATTCTAGAGGAGAATGGCATATGATGAGAGTGTGTTGGATGTGGATTGCTGAATATATAGAGGATATCAGTTATGTAGGATGTGATGACGTGTATAAGGAGAACTCCACTCAGGACAAACAATCCCTTATTATATATAATATATATTATATAATTTCATGTGCAGGTTTGGTCATCCTGTTTTGAGCTTTAGAAATCCATATGTTAGATTCTAAAGGAAACCTAACGCAAGAACAATCTGGAGTCTGCTCCTTCTGCTGCTGCTGGCCTTGTTCTAAACATTCTCTGGATGTCTGGGCTTTTTTTTTTTTTTTTTTATTCTTTGGTCCAAAAAAAAAAACAAATTGAAAAAAAAAAAATAAGAA